CAAGCACCATCGCCACAAACGCGAGAGTGATGACAATCGGCGGGCTTTGGGGATCCTCCTTGAAGATGTGGTGGATCTCAGGAAGCTTTCCGTATCTCGAGACCTCAACAGTTGGGACTGGCTGATCGGGGTTCCGGGTAACGGCCAACTTGAATGCAGCGCCATTGTAGGCCTCGGCGCTGCCAAAAGATCCGATCAAGAGTTTTGCATCAAGGGGTTCGGTCAAGGAGAGGAATTGAACCGGGAGGTCTTTTTGAGTCTAAAGCCAGCGTCAGCCATGCCAAATAACAGTTGTCCCTTCCGCACGTACCAGCTCAACCTTCGATTTGCCATTTTCCTTCACATCGAAGGGATAAGAGATGTCTAGTCCGGTCTCTGGGTCTTGGAGGAGGAGGAAAACTTGGTGCGCGCGCTTTCCGGAGCTGCCTTCGCGGGCCGTGAGGGTCACCTTCAAGGTGTCGGCACTTCCGAGGGAGACGGGCTTGGTGAGGGCCTTGTTGTCGGGGATGCTGTCAAATTCGGTCGAAGTTAGCCAATTTCTATTGAGTAAAGCCAAGCTGTAGAGTAGTAAACCGATTACGCACGTTTCCTTCAATCCAGAACCGACTCCAGCGCCCTTGGTTTGAACTGACACGGTGGCATCAGTAAACCCCCACGCGGATGCCGCTGCGGTCGGGGCGGCAGTAAAAGCCAGCAAACTGAGCTGGAGGACAGTATTCCACAACTGCATCCTGATTGACAGATAGACACTTGTAACAAACCGAGCTGGACGGAGTGGAACAATTGCGACGTAGGTGTCCTGAATACGTCGACTTGCGGACGCAAGCTGAAGAAACGCTAAGATAAGCGCCCGCGGCTTTGGGGCAAGCTGCGGTCCAGTGACCGACCCTCCGCCTTTGCAAGCCCTAATTTCCCGGAGTCTTCAAGTCGGCCTGCCAAACAATTCTTCCTCGCCTTACGATCGGCTTGATGGCTTCTTCAACTACTGCGACAACCCGCTAAATCGTCAAACATCCCGATAGTCGCTCCTTTACCTTCGCATAATGTTTTATTTTGTGTTTTTCTAGCACCGGGAGCGCCCCTGCGACTGCAGTACGCCTGACGTTAGAACTCCTTCGCCTCCGCTACACCGACGAGCCACCCTGTGATTAACCCTCGGACACCGTCTTGGAAGTCGTCCTGGCCACTATCGCTCTCTTGTATCCCGCTTATTGGTACGTCAGGAGACGTTTTATATCTCTTATGCACACATATCCGGGGTTGGACGGCGTTCTGGTGTTTCCAGGAGTTGCCGCGCCTGCCTGGGTCCAATTCCGAACCAGTTGTTCAGTTTAGCACAGTTCACTGACTCCGCCTTGCAACGCAGGAATATACAGGATATCTTGTACCGCGAAAATAAGCTAGTCGAGAAAGCGATCCAAAAGAACCAACAATACCCCCGCTGATCCTTGTGAGCCGGTAAACCTCGCATCGGAAGTGCCGATGGTCGAACTTTGCTAGGAAGCGGTGGGACTATTGTTTATTGAGGAAACGCCTGGAATAAAGGGAACTGCTTGTAAACGGCAAAAAGTGAGACAACTGTTTGAGACTGCTGTTGTTGTTCGTCTTGTTTGCTTAGGGCTCAGTGCACAGTCAACCCTAGGCGGGGGTTGCCAAATCATTCACTCCTTCGTATTCAATGCTGACAACAACCAAAGTGGCTGGTAGATCTTCTGTTACTCGGGGAGAGGCCTCTCCTGCGCCTTCGCTCCTGGATTCGGCATCTGTAAGTGTTTCTCTGCCTCTCTTTGTCTGCATTGTCTCTGACCAGCCATAAAGAAAAACTCCCGACGAAGCTCTTCCCGCGCTTCAAGGAAAGCAACGCGAGAACTTGAACTTACCACCTCACATCCGTCTCGTTTGGCAGTGTCTCTCCCTCCAACTCCGATCACTTCCTCTTTTGAAGAGGCGTTGTCCTCAACACAGCGCGCGAAGAGACACCGTTCTGTCAATTACTACGAAAAGACGCCCCAGTCCAAAGGAGCCGAGACTCCGGGCCAGAAGAACGCATCTTTCTCCGGCCAGCCGTCTGCCAGTACCTCGAGGAAGAGTAGTCGTAGTCGCAAGTCTGAGAAAGCCGACAAAGACGCTGTCAAGGCGCCTGATTCCACGGGTGACCAAGCTGTCACTCCTACCTCCACATCTAACCCCAAGCGCAAATCTCAAGCGGAACAATCTACCCTGCACACGTATCTGCAGAAAAAGCCTGGAGACAGGCGAAAGACCTTGACTACACCAGCTGAGGCATCCGATAAGAACAACCCTAAATCTGACATCAAACACGACTCCAAATCTCCAGCCATGGGTGCCGCAGTGTCCAGCGGCCGCATGACTAGGAAGTCTATCCCAGCTAAGATGAACGGCCCTGAGAGCACTGAAAAAGCTACTCCCAAATCTAAACTGGTCACTCGCCTCTCCACTCCAGTCTCTCGCAAAGACCGCAAGTCTAAGAGTGTTGAAGCTGAGCAAGTGCCCAAGTCAACCCCTCGTGTCAAGCCAGAATCGACGCCCCCTGTGAATTCAACGTCCAAAGCAGCCAAATCCCAAGCCAACGGCACTGCAGACCCAGTTACTCCAGCTGAGCAGACTCCTGTCTCCACCCCGAGCACCACAGCAACCAGATCCCGTCGCAGAGACCGCAAGTCTGCCAGGAAAGCCAAGGCAGGTCGCTCGCAATTAGCGAATGAATCGTCTCAAGCAGATACTTCGACCAATACCGATGCTGAAGACCGCAAGCCAGTTCTCAAAGACTCCGGCAAATCTGCGTCTCAGGACTCGGATAAGGACAGCTCGGAGCCTCAGCAAGCAAACAAGAGACCGAGCAATACAGTCACCCTGAGCTTGGGCCGCAAGTCTCTCGAGTCTTTTGTTCAGAAAACGCTCGAGTCAGCCTCCTATGGCAATGAAATCGCTGACAGCGTTGAAGGAACGCCCGTTCGTGTATACGATGACTCTTATCACTTTGATTATGATACGGATATGTATCGCAACAATTTTGGTCTGGATGGTCAAATGGACACACCGGCCTCACCTACAAGCTTCTCCACAACTACCTCCACTGGCGCTCGCATGTCCGGCCGGGCCCGCAAGCCCACTATCAGGGCATTAGAGTCCCTCGAATCAGAACGGCGTTTCCGCCGGCCTCGGGCCCAAACGCCTGGAAAGGCGGACTCGTCCACGGCTGGGAAACAGTGCGACAAGGCACCCAGCGAACAGAAAAATGCTGAGGAGCCGAAGACAGCGCCAGCAGAAACTACGCAGGCGCCATCTGCCACCCCGCAGCCAGATGTGGACGCCTTTGCCCGCCGGATATTTGAGTTGGCCGCTGCAGCCGTGTCAGACGACTTTGTGCCGGCGCCTGAAGCTGACACCTGGCTCGAAGAACTGCGAAAGGAGTACCAGGGCAAAGGGGATGCGGAAATTGCCGCAGTTGCGGCGGTGGTTGAGGGAGAGAGTAGGCAACCCTCGGATGACGAACCTACTACAGAAAAGTGGACTGACGAGGACGGTTGGATGCACACAGGTCAAATCAACGAGTTCGGAGAGGAGTACGTCGTTGTTGGCCCTGATTTTGAGTGGTACAGGCCCAACAACACGTACGGGGACACGCAGCTTCCCGAGCCCCCTGTGCGCCTAAGGTCCCTGGAACAGTCCGAGAAGGACCGAATTTTTGGCTTTCCACCACGTATTGGAGAGCGTAACCTGCCTCGTGCCACCAATTTCCCGTTCATGATGGAGGACGTTTATCACGAACGGGCTAAGATCAAGGCCCGCGAGGAAGCCCGGCAGAAGGGCATCGCCGTTGACAGGTCGATGTCAGTCTCTCAGATTGAGGCACTGATCGGCCGGCACAGCAAGAGCGCCAGCTCGCAATCGTCTGAGACTCCCGCTCCGGCCCCAGCTGCCGCGAAGAGCTCGAAGCAGGACAGGCCGTCCCGGAAGCGACGACGTACGGAGCCCGTTATCCCAAGCGAGGCTCCTTCGACCAACGAATCCACCACAGAGAGTACACATAAGCCTAAGAGAAGACGCAAGAACACAGTAGGAGCACCGGCGGCGGCCCCGACTGAACCAGAGCCGTCATCCGAAAAGCCCAAGACGCTCAAACTCAAACTGATCTTCTCGAAACGTGAATTGCCGGCAACTCCTTCTGCTTCCAACACGACTAACACATCTACCAAACCGAATAAGCGCCCCCATTCCGCAATCGAGGCAGACGGTGACAACGCCGCTAGCAACGGACCTTCCAAGAGCCCTAAAATCACTCCCTCTAATCCCACGACTACCCCCAGACGCCTCCTCAAGCTCTCCACCCCGAAACAGGGACAGAAGGAAACGAGCAACGCCGCTCCCACCTCTACCCCCGATGTTCCCCCTTCGGCTGACCAGAACTCGCTCACAACGCCCGGCGGACGTCCTCGTCGTCGCGCCGCAGCAGCATTAATGGCCGAGTTCCAGAACCACAAAGAAGAAAGGGCTCGCAGAGCCAACGCGCGCAAGAAAGCTAACCCCGATAACCCGGAGGAGCCAAGTTCCAGCCAAGCTTCTAGCTCCGCCGCGAAACCGCACTAGCGGTTGGACCACTGCTACCCTCAGAATACGATAATTCCATTCAACGTTTCTTTTCCCTTCATACGTTCTTAGCCCTTTTCTAAAACCACTTTAATCCTTTATTCAAGTGACCCCAAGTCACACACACCCTGATTCATTAGACATTTGAACTATCACGGCGTTATGAACGGTCATCGGAACTAAGCATAGCGGAAATTTTCAAAGACATGGCAGGCAATTGCACGGGCGTTTTTTTTTTTTTTTTTTTTTTTTTTTTTTTTTTTTTTTTTTTTTTTTTTTTTTTTTTTTTTTTTTTTTTTTTTTTTTTTTTTTTTTTTTTTT